ATATATATATATATATATATATATATATATATATTTTAAATACCAGGTTGAGTACTCAATTATCAGTTGAGGATGTGATAGCAATTATTTGATGAGAAATGTCCATATTCATGCAGCCTTCCCAACCACATGAATATCTTGTCATGCATGATCCTGGGGTATCTGATAGGGAAGATTGGAATTTGGACAGCATCCCCCCTCAAAAAAAATGCTTCTCAATCACGAGTGATATGGGGGATTTACTCAGACCTCCTTCACCCTTTGTGGAATTAATTAATCAGGTTTGTGCTGTTTATCCTTATTTCCTGTTTCCTATGGTTCTTATCCTGCTCTCCTTGGTGAAGAATCTATGGGCTGATATTTGGTGTTCCCTCTCTCACTTGTTGTTGTGATTCGCACCTATCATTTTGTGGCTTCATTTCTCTCATTACATTGTGGGGGTCGAACCCCATTGCATTGGTGAATTTCTCACAACCTCAATTTTCCCATGTCAGACACTGATGTTGTCCACAATTCTGTGTGCATTATTGACTATGCACTTGCTGACTTGGGCAATTCACTTGTCTCCTGAAGGATTTTCAGATAATGTTTGCAGTCGTCTGTTTACTACAATGGCACGCCTTTCATCTTCGGCCATGGCTTTCCAGATGTGGCTGACATGCCGTTAGGACCTTCTGGGTCGGAATGTCATTCTTTCTTGAGTACATTTACCCGCTACTTCCCTGCATGACTTGTGCATGGCACCTTTTTTTATGTGAGGAGGTGTTTTGGGGTTTTTCCAACTTATTGGATGCTTGAGTTGACTTCTCTCGTCTGCATAATTCATTATCATCGTTAGCTTCCAGTTTATTCCAACCTCCTTCTACTGTTTCTGTGTCTTGCTCCCCTTCCCCTAGTCCAGCCCGTTGCTGGTCCTGGCCTCTCATTCTTCATCCACTTATGGTCGAGATGTTACTTGAAGGCATTTCTGATGATTACTGTATCATTGACTCTGCCTTAGAGTTGGGGTTAGGCCTTTCCATTTTCACAAAGGGATCCTGTTTCTTGTCATCATCTACAGGAGGCAATTTGGGTCTTACTTTGAAAGGAGACTATAGAACTTGGGTCACTTCTCAACTGTAGTTTTACTCCCACCTCTTTGTTGTCTAAAAAAACAGGGAGGATTGGTGACCAGTTATAGATTTATCGTCCCTGAACCATTTCCTGGTTGTACCCAAATTCACAATGGAGTCTTACCCAACACTTCAGCAGGTTATCACTCCCAGGTTGTGCATGACGATGGTCAGCATTTTGGATGCTTATATACACATTCCCATCTCTCAGCCATCTAGACATTTCCTCTGTTTTGTTTGTCAGGGGTGTGTGTATCAGTTTCGGACTCTACCATCTGTCCTAGCCTTGGCTCCTTCTGCCGAGTAGTCAAGTCATTCGCTTGACTACTTCATGCTTTAGTCCTCTGTTTCCACCATTACATGGACAACTGGCTACTTTTGGCTTCCTCTCAAGTCGAATCTGCTGTTCGTACTTGGTTTCTTCATCAATATGCTGCCAGAGTGGGTTGGCTCATCTATCTGGAGAAGTTGTTTATCACATCCACACAATATTTGATTCATCTGAGTGTGTTTTTCAATTCCCTCATCAGTCGGGTTCAGCTTTCTTCCCTTCATTATGGTCTGTTGTGCCCTATCCACTCAACACCCAGGGTTACCATCAATCAGTGATATGTATTATTAGATTATTTCATGTTTTTCTGCTTTTTATGTTCAAAACTCAGTCATATAAGAGTGAAGAGTATAACTGGATCAGATGTGGTGTGGTCTCCTGCTGTGGTATGATTTTTTTTTTTTTGGTACCACACTCTTTTGTTCTCTCTTTGGGTGCTTCCTAAAGGGGAATCATTATTTCATACTAGCCTTTCACCAGTTCAATGTGGGATTCTAGCTATTTTTTGAGAGGAGGGAAGATATTGTACCAGAAGTTAACATTTTCCTAAACTTACTTACCTTTTTTCATATTTCTCATCCAGCCTTCTTGCCTCCAGTGATATGTGGTGTAGGTCCTTTGACCAATGTCGAAGTGATTATCATGTGCAAATGTGGAGAGAGCACTGGTTACAATAGGGGTGGTTTCACGCTCCTGTTTGTGGAGAGCTGCTGCATAATCATTTACATGTGGATATGCAGAAGTGGGAGGTGGAAGACTAATGGTGAGTGTTCAAAATTTGCATTGAGTGAGGGCAGTACTAATCGAGAAAAACTATTCATAATTCACATTAATGTGAACTCAGAATGAATCCCAAAATCATACGAGTAAAGCTAGAAAACTGAAATGACACATAAAAAATACACCGTAAATCTACACTGAGTTTAGCAACAGCTTGTTGTAATTTTAGTCCTTGTGAAAAAGAACTATTCCAAGGTAAATGATTAAATTAGTGGAGTGTTTGAATTTTCACTGGACATGTCCAGAAAATGTGGTTTAACTTGTAGCTGTGCATACTGTTAATTGTGTTACTTATGACTGGAAACCACATAAAGTGCACATTGTCAAAATGTTGTTTGATTAGTTTATAGAGAATGAAGGTGTTTATATTAAAAAAATGTCCAAAAATAAATGATAGTGTTACATTATTAATTTGAAGAACTAAAACATAATTGGTTTGTTTTTTCATTCATTTTATTCCAAATTAATGATTTCTTTAATTTCCGCATAACTAATATTGTAATACTGTGATAAAATTAATGAGACTTTTTTTTAGTCCTGAGATTCTAAACAAAGCTAAATTTTAATATTGAAAACTTTATATAGAAAAAAGAAGTTACATAAAATATTGACTGTTGTACTTGTAGTTTGGTACTGTGACAGTAATAGAAATATAATTATTTTTAATAGGTCATCATGGCTGAAGAACAAGCAAAACGGGTATGTTTCAATTTCTGTTGTTAGCATTTAAAAAACTGTGAATTAATAGATATGTAAATGTATATATGAAGCTAGGTAAAATGTTTTAATTCATCATACAGTATACTCCTGATTTTTCAGAACTTCTAAACTACATCTACCACATGTGCTGTGTGAAGCATCTATAGGATACATTTAGTTCTAACCTATCCAGTTCCTTTTATCATTCCCACAAAATCTTTATTTTGTTTGCATACAGAAATGTTGGCTACAGAAATGTTCTAATTTCTGTAGTTATTAATGTTGGATTGTGTAATTGTATGATATTTTTCACACCTGGTATAAAAATAAATGGAAATGTTCGTGAAGTAAAAATTGTTAAAACAAACAATGTTTATCACCTGTTCAAAATTGTATAGCAGTTTTGTTCAGAAAATGAATGTATTTCACTTTTATACTCAGTAAAAGAAAATGAAACAATTTACCAAAAATTAAAAAGACTAATGATTTTTTAAAATAAAAACAAACTATTATCACAGATTCTTGGCATTTATTCTGGTACATTTCCAAGTGCAATTCACCATCAGTTTTACTTTCTTAAACTTAGGAAGAGTTTTAAGAAATGGTTGTGATCAGTAATTAAAACCTTTCTTTTCTTTGGATTTTTGTGTGGTTTATTGAAATAATAATAATCTCAGTTGCTGTCCTTCCAATTTGGTACAAATAAGCTGCTTTCTAAAATTTATTAATCACTTGCTGAGTTGCAACAACTACCCCTTCACTTTATAAGCAGAAAGCAACAAAAGATTAATATTCCAACACAGGAGATGGTACTTTTCCACAACATGTTTGAAAAGTGTTTCATGCTATGTAAAATGGTCTAACGTATTTTTTCTGAGGCATTTTAGATCCTTTCATTTACCAGTAGTAGATTTTAACATTTGTTAAACTAGAAATGTTAGGACTTATCTGTTACAAAGGGACATGACTTTGTGGTTGACAGGATCAAAACCCATCTCTGAATGTGTTTGCCCTTTCAATGTAACAATCAATCACACTATTTATTGGTAAAAAAAGTAGCCCAAGAATTGGAGATGGTGGCGTTGAATAGCTGCCTACTTTGTAGTATAACACTTCAAAATTTGGGAAGTCTGGTACAAATAGCTTTGTGCATGAATTCAAGAAAACAAACAGTTACAAATATATTTTCAGTATTTTCAACCTATTACCTCTTTAGGGCTACTTTTGCTGCCTGGCTATAGATTTCAACCTAAAATTTTGGAAACGTTAAAAACATTAACATTTTCTATGGCTGTCAGGTGATTTTGGCTTGATGTAATAATTTCTATACAATGGAATGTCATCTTGAAGCAAAATCAACAAGTATCTTTAAGGATAGTATTATCAAATGTTACAGTTTCATTTATTCCAGAATCATGAAGCACTGCTTTTAGTGTCCACTGCCTATATGTCATATGTTTAAGACTATTAAGCTTACTTGGAGTTGTATCTGTAGAGCTGCTGATGTGTAATAAGTCTATATTATCAACAACATGTTCTGAAAGATAGGTTTTTACGGAAGTGAAGGAATGCCTGAAGCTGAATTAAGTAAATAACAAATCTGAAAGATGTTAACTATTTCAGTGGACTTTTCACTAGAGCTGGGAGGTTAGTGGAATTGGGTAATTGGTTAATAGATGGACTCATTAACTTTTTCAATATTGCTTCTGTGGATTGCACTGACAATGTGACACCAAAGTGACCATCAGAGTTTTCGTACTATAACTTCTATCATGTTTTGTGTGACTTCATGAAATTTTTCAAGCTTTTAGTAAATGTTACAAGTCTTTTGCAGATTAAAAAAAATCTGAATTTTTAATTAAGTATTTTTACTAAAAATATTCCATGAATATATGGAAACAAGAGTGTTGGCTGCTTTGAGTGCAAAGTGATTTTCATGTTAAGTTTTATAAATACTTCATCTGAAATTTTTCAAGTTTTGTTTTCATAATCTCTAAAACCTCCTAAATAAACATCAAACTATTTTTCTCATATTTCCATCTCATTTCAAACAAGGAACAATTCCAAATACTTTGAAGTTCTTACAGAACTCTCCTTTCACTGTAAGGAAAACTGTAAGAGAGAGGGAAGAATCTTTGAAGGCTCTCACAGTTAAATTTGAACAGAAATTGTCATACAATATATTTACTAGTATATGTATAATGGTTTACATTTGAAAATGTCCAGGTGCAGTTTCTTGTGTAACCCACATGAAATAATCCTTGACTTTCTAAAAATGGTTATTGAAAAGTCATAAATTTTCATTTCTGCATAGGTGTAGAAACCATGGCTTCCTTTATGTTCAACAGAATCTTTTGAGCAAAAGCAATTTTGATCTTCATGAGTTTCTAAAGTTTAATTTAATATTTATTACTTTAAGTTGATACATATTTGTGGCTTGCATTTGGCCATATCTCCATTAAGACCTCATTTGTTTTCAACAAAAAATATTAGCATTTACGATTTATGGCTGAGATGTTTATGTTTTCTGTATTATAATACTTTAGTTGCATTTGTTTATTATTTACATTAATGTTTTTGCTTATTGTAAGTTACAGCATGTTTTTTTTAAAACAAATTTTGTAAAAAAATTTGATAAGGTCTTTTAAGCTCCAATTTTATGATTCATATTACCTTATATAATGTACTTACAACAATGGTTTGCAAGTAAACTGGGAGAGAGACAGTTGTGTTCTACTGCCTCTAAATAACAAGTTGTCATCAACTGCAGGCCTTTATTGTTGTGCCAAATAACAAAGTTATTCTTGAGGAACACTGACTTAGAGAATCCATACAACAAAATCAACACATGCAGGGTTTCTTATAAGGCTCATTTATATCCCAATTTCAACCCTTTTTAAATTTTTAACATTCTCAGTTTGGACAGAAATTCAACTTGTGTTTGGCATAACAGTGGGTTATTTTTTTTTTTATCTTTCATTCATTTGTTTTGTTCAAAGTTAGTCTCGGTGGTTGAATTTAACCATAACAGTCTGTTGAACTGCAAGTGTCATTTTCTTGTGTTTATTATATAGGGATATTGCACTTAAAGTAGCCAGGATGGACAACTTTTATATGCAAATTCATATGTAAGCACTAACATAACCCGCACTAACATAACCCTTACTTGTATAAAAAAGCTAACTTTCAGCACAGGCTCCCACTGACCAACCACTTAACCATTTTGTGCTTGATATAGTTTTCATGCTATAACTTTCAGATTAGTTAGCGTATCTTCACGAAAGTTTGCAGATTATCAGTAAACATTGCAAAATATCAGATTTTTTAAGTAATGTCTTTCTCATGCCTTTTTTCTTTTTGATTGTTCACTATCCAACATCCAAATTTTCAAATTTCGCATGTGAAATCTTTATAACCACCAGATAATTATTAAATGTATTTTAGAAAAAAAAAAAATATTTTTTTTGCGATTTTCTCTATTGGATGTCTGTACGAGTTTGATCGATTTGACCAATCTTGTAATCGCCATAAAAAATCATGAAATAAATATAACTTATGCTTTTTCATTCTAGAATGAAACGAAAACACGAATGTTAAGTCTAAATAGCTAAAATCTCATTAAATTATACACACGCACACACACACACACACACACACACATATGTGTGTGTGTGCTGCTGATTTGTTCTGTTTAACTGGACTAGCATTCTTAACGTTTTCCTAATCGATTACCAGAATGACTATT